GCTGCACCTTGAATACTGCGTTCAGTGTTGGGCCCTCAGGACAAGAAGGACATCGAGGTGCTAGAATGAATCCAGAGAAGGGCAAGGGAGCTGGTGAAGGGTCTGGAGCAAGACTTATGGGGTTGTTTAGTCTGGAGAAAAGGATGGTCAAGAGAGACTTTATTGCTCTCTACAAGTACCTGAAAGAACATTGCATCCAGGTGGGGTTTGGTCCCTTCTCCCAATTAATAAGTGATAGAACAACAGGAAATGGCCTCAAGTTGCACCAGGGGAGGTTTAGGCTGGATATTAGGGAAAATTTCATTACTGGACATGTTCTCAGGCACTGGAACAGGCTTCCCTACCGAGGGAAGTGAGGGAGTTACCATCCCTGGAGGTATTTAAAAGATACATAGATGAGGTACTCAGAGACATGGTTTAGTGGTGAACATAGCAGTGCTGGGTAAATGGTTGAACTGAATAGTCTTACACGTCTTTTCCAACATGAACAATTCTATGACTCTATGAAAAATCTCATGCTTTAATAATTATAAAGGACATATCACAAATATGTCTAATTGATAAACTAAGTAAAAAATAAAGTTAAATTCAATTTTGATGGATGAAGAACAGTGGCATTATTAGGACAAATTCTTTTTAGAGATTAAACCAAGATTCCAGCTGGTCTTTACACATCATATCAAATGAATCAAATTTTCATATCATATCACATGAAAATACTGCTGGTAAAGACTCAAAACTAGACATTTTCTGATAACAGAACCTTACTCCCTGGCAAGATTAAAATTAAAAAATCACTTGATCTCCCATACCTTCATCAGACAATGCTTCCTCTGAATTTTTCATTTCAGTGGAAGTTTTGCTGTATAAGAATTGCCACAGATAGGAAACACTGTTTCTTGTAGCTAACAGTTGGCATCTTGTCTAATGTGTAGCTTTTAACCCTTAAGGAGAAAGTCTGTCACTCAATTACATGTTTATAAACTGCCTCCCTTAGTATAATTCAGACCCTTATGACACCACAAGAGTGACATAATTTTGTTAATATATTTATATTTTCTCTTCCAATCCAGGGAAATGCAAGCTACAAATAAAAATCCATATCAAATTCATATTTGTTTTAATTCAAAGTGAATTTTACGGTCTGTTTAGCCCATCACTAATGAATTTAATATTTTACATACATGAAACACAGAAGTAAAAAAGATAAGGGATATGTAAAATAAATCTGACATAATTTCTTTCCCCTAAAATTCCACTTCTTTACCTGGGAGTCGATACTGCTCGGAAGCAAAGAAACACAAACAAATGGTCATCTTAATAGTTGAATTGCAATCTAGAGATCAGGAAAATATTTGGAGATATTCACTGAAAAGTGCAGTGTCTTGTTAATTTCAGTTATTTCTTGTCTGTATATCTCAAGCACAAAGGACAAAAACCCTTGCAGTATAGATGTTCTAGAAGTATTTTGTATACATAGAGGTCTGTCTTACCTTGTTAAAGGATTTTAGCGTATCACAAATGCTGCCTTTTGTGTTTCATAACATTTGGTGCCTTGTTTCACTTTCTCCAGCATAAGTTTACAGCACCATTCAGAAAAGTAACCACATTTTAAAAGTCCTTTCAAAAAAACCCAGTGTCAATATCATAATATTTCTTCCCCTCATGAGTATGAAATAATAGGAAAAAAATCTACAATATCCATGATGTCATTCAATTGAACATGTAGAAACTGCCAAGAAGACAAATGTGAAAACTTCTACACAGCATCTATACCATAGCCAGGTGTGATTACTAGTCATTGGAAATTGTTTCTTTCAAGCACTTGGAATATGTTGCTGCACATAGCAGTATCACTGGTTTTAACATCACAGGAAGCTGCAATATCAAAATAATTTTAAAATTTATCTTCCTGAAGGTACTGTATTATTAAGGCTGCATTGGTAGCTGCTGAATTAAGAGTGGTTGATGATGTCTGCAGGGAGCAAGGGGTTCATGTGACTATACTGGTGAACTGTTAGAACAATTCTTGACTGCAGTGTGGCCTCTCCCAGGTAGCCAGAATCCTTCCCTTAGCCATTTCCAAACATTGTTTGCTCTCCAAGGACCTTGGGCCATAATTCATGTGCAAGTTCACTGGTAGACAGTTCGGTAACAGTCACAGAGGCTGTGAGACCCTGCCTTCATGCCAAAGAATATTCCTAAATGTGTCAAATTTTCCAGACTAGACATAACTGATTAATTATAGACCAGAAGGTAATTTTGTTTCAGTAATATTTCTAATGCCAACCTGAATCTAGCAGGTTTGGATGTGATGACACAAGTCCCGCCCACAACTTTTGCACACGACCAGGGGCAAATTCATGTCCAACCAGAGTGATAGTGTAGAAATCTGGTAAAAAAATTCTGATAGTAGTCCTTTTCTTGCTCCAGTTATTTCTGTCCATTGCAAGCATTTGGGACTGCTTGAGGGTTCAATTACATAGAAGGGCCAAAGCAACTTGAAGACTGGAACATTTCACAGTGTTTAGCATGTTTTGTACCTGGTTGCAAATTTATTGTAGTTATTGTCAATCAATTCCAACATCAGAGAGCCTTGCAGAGACTTTCCAAGTCATGAACTCTGCATCAATGTGAATTATCAGAAAAAGGAAAAAAGAAAAAAAAAAAAGAAAAAGTAATAACAATAAAAATTGATTGACAGACATGATAGTGCTTCTATATATCTTCACACAACAGGGCTGGTGCTGGTATGGCATGACTAAAACTTTGACATATATACCAACACTCTTCAAATCAGCAATGCAGGACAAACTCATGTTATCTGAGCATTTTAATGTTTTCATTTAGATCTCATATGTTTTCATGTTAAGCACTGGCAATCATTTATCTACAAATCTAGATGTGTCCATGAAGATCTGAAGGAAGAATGTTTCTGAGCCTTGTGTTAGTCAAGATTTCAGTGGGGTGACATCACTCTATATCAGGTGAGGATCTTGACTAATAGTTTAAAAGGATGGTATAAAACAAGAAAGAGGAGAAAGCAAAATGATGGCCAAGGTTACATGAACCCTTGCTACTATTCTTCTGTTAATGAACATAGAAAATGCTTTTCTTAATGATGAGGTAACTTGTGACTAGCCTGATTCTTGCAGATGAAATCAGTATTGCTCCTGGTAAGCAATAAAAAAAACATGCTGATTGTAGTAGTATTAAAGGAGAAGCAGAAGGAAAGGAAAAGAAATTGTGTAATTTGTAGGGATTCAAAACATACATCAGGGTTTAATATCTGAAACTGCAGTGCAGATGCAGATGCAGCGTTTAAAATTTAAACAAATACTTCAGAGGCTTCTAGATATCTTATAGTCTGTAGTTATTTTGCACACATTCCTACATACCTTCAAAGAGTAAAAAAAAGTTATTAAAAAAATCAAAACTTCACATAAACAGAAGCCAACTGCTTCATCACTCATCTCTGCAGCAGTGGCATATTTCCCTTGAGTGTTTCAAAGCCATATGAACAAGGTAACTCCACAAGGCAGTGTATTTTATTGGTCAGCCATGAGGAGCTCATATCTACACATTCTGCTTTACACAGAGTCTGGCAGTGACCAGCCTCTAGCTCTGTCACATGGAAGGAGAGAGACACCCATTTTATGTCCTCTTCTGATGTGAAATACAAAATGGCCACACTGTTCAACATGATAATCATGATTAAATTTTTTGGTAAAATCATTGCAACTGAGTCAGGGAATTAGAAATTGCTGTAGTGGGGTATTTAGAAGACTGATAAACTGACTTTAAAATAAAATTTAATTGATTGACATTCATTGATGACAGATGTGCCAATGGCTAGCTGTTACAAATGATCACCAAATAATTTTGCACACATAGATCTACTAGTCCACTATATCCTGAATTAGCTGTGAGTATGCAATACCAAGGAGATGATGCACCTGTCAAGGTGATCAGGTTTGGGAGCTCTTTTATAGGTAAAGTTCCTCTGGAGGCCTAATACTTTATGCAGCTTGCCTCTCTCCCAGAAAGGGATTCTGCTCCCAGTGCTGCTTATCTTTGTTTTGGCTTTCAGTATCAGTCATCCTGATACTTGTGCAATTAGTAGGATATCCTGCTTCTTTGTTGTCCCTTTTGCTTATCTTGTCCTTTTGTTCGTTTCTTCAGTTGATGATTATATGTTTTCCCACACTTCCCACCTGCCTGCAACTACACAAGTTCTTATTTATTCTTGGGTGGACACATTGTTCATAAACTTAAATGCAACACTTGCTGCACATTGTTTTGCATTGTGTGCAAACATATGTGTCAATATATTTATACCTATATATGTATCTATGTTGTTTGTTACACTATTTTAGTGTGCTTCTAGTTGGGTTCAAGGCAAGCAAATAGGAATTCTATTCTAGCTATGCCTATATTATAATGTGCATCCTGATTCTTAAGTATGGCAATAGTTCATAGGTGCCACAGCCTCTGTTTTGGCTGTAATGCCTAGAGTTGGCACTTGAAGAGATCTCAGGTAAAACCATTCTCTCTGGCAAAAATAAGGAAGCAAAGAGCTGTCTATTAGACAGCTGGAAGAACATAATAATGAGCACACTTCAGTAGTGTGCTTTTAAATAAAATTACTGTACTTGTAATTTTCTTTAGTCAGTATGGTGTCACTGTAGTGGTGGTCTGCACATTTACTGAAATAAAATCTATTTCAGAGCAGCAAAACAGAGATTATGTGAAGATGACATCATACAAGGATTCACTATTCATAAAATTAATCTATTCTCTCTTGTGCTGCAGAAGCTGTTAAATTAAAGAACATAGTAGTTAGTATCTTTGATGTAGAAAACAAGGCAAGAGAGAAGGATAAGTGTTATGATCAGCCTGTCGAAGAGAGAAGCAGAAATAACAGATACAGGAATAGACTGATTTTGACTTAAATAAACCACTTTTTTCAGCCTTAATGAAATGGTTTTTTAGCCCTAATGTGCAACGGAGCTAGCAGCAGAGGCTCTCTGCTTTAATACAGATGAACAAGTGAGAAATGACATGCAAGTATGTTTAGGAAACCTGACATGACAGCTGGTTACCTAGTCTCTCTACTCCACAGATGTACTATTGCACTGGGGAAGAAAAGGCATCAGTCATATTCTGCAGCCAGAAGGCAGAGGAGGATCATTTCAGGAAAAGTTTTCGCAGCTTCTCTGAAAAAAAAAAAAAAAAAAAATAAAAAATAAAAATTGGAAGCAGTGCCAAGGAAAGAGTATTCTGGGAAAAGCCCAGAAGAGCCCAGAGCTGGCTGCCAGGGTTTGCTGTGGTGACTGGGCACAGCCGTGCCGGGAGCCAGGGCTAGCCCCGGCCGAGCGAGCCCCGGCTCATCCCCGGCGCAGTCAGCGAGCGCGGGCACCCAGCGGTGCTGGGAGCTCCTCATCGTGCCCTCTCCTCCGGCTAAACAAGCTCTGCCATCAGCCCCGCGGCCGCGTATGGGCAGCAGGAAGGCAGGCGGGCTGAGGGGTGTGCAGAGCTCCCTGGGGCAGCCACCGGAGCCTCCCCGCTGCCCACGGCGCCTCCAGCCCCCTGCGCCCCAAACCTCGCTGCTGCTGGGCTGCCTGCGCTCACCGCCCCACCGAGCCTTCCTGTGACAAGGAGCCAAAGGACCAAAGGGAAGTTTGTCCCTGGTACCGCACCTGTCAAAGGATGAGTGAGCACTGCGTGTGTCCTTGGGCCGCTTTAAAAGGATGCTGCTGACAGTGGTAGGAATTACTGACCTACCTGCACTGTAAGCGTGGAGGGAGGCATGTGTAATGCGTGCCTTCTGACTGCTCTGTTGGTGATCTCAGTCCTGACCCAGTGGGTCTAGTCTGAAATTAGTGAGCTTCTAATTGCTTTTTAATTTAAAGCAATTACGAAAGGGGACACTACCAAACGTCTTTTGTACTTGTGGGATCACACATGGCATTTAACTGGGAAAATATCATGTTGGGCAAGTTTTTTCATTAAAAATCTTATTCTATCCACAGCAAATGCTGTAATGCTTGAAATTCAGAATTTATATAGCAAGTTGTACAGGAATTTTTATCCACAGACATTTGTTTTGTTTTGAATATTGAAGGGAAAATCAGACTCAACTATTTAGACTGGCCTGAAACTTATGATTCATACTCTCAGCTTTGTGGCATTGTTCTTTATTGTTTTAGCCACTTAAGAAGAGACCACTGCTAAAGGTTAACTGAGCCAAAGTGGCATCTAGAAAGAAAATAAATTCCTGGTGGTCCTTTATCTTCCTTCAGAATTTACAGCAATGTGCAATATGACCTTGAGAAGCCACGCTAGCTGACACAGTGATGACCACGGACTTGCTGTCATAGCAGACAGAGATAAGTTGTGTTCTGCAACAACTTGTGAGTTAGTTCTCACTAGAATAAGGTATTTCTGTGATTGAGAAAACTCTTTGCTCCTGCCTAGGCACACTGTGTAGTCACGGTCATCCTTGCATTCGTTAACATGAGTTCTCAAGGACATGTTTTAACTTGTCATGCTGTTAGAGTGATGTCAAGCCCACTGAGAGGGACATCAAGAGGGTATTCACAAAGTATGAGGCCAGCTCCATCAAAAAGGACAGATTCTCCTGCAGCAGTTCATAACAGAGAAGTGACATCTCTGGATTGCCACTTCAAGCCCACAGTGCTATCTAAAGTGACATCTTCATGTTGCAGTGTGAAGCCTGTAGCATTATGTGGAGTGACATCTCCACAGAACTGACTGAAGCCCATGCTAATTGCAGCTCAATCTTGAGAAAAGAGTTTTGCAAAAACATTCCTGGAAACCCTCTGAGGAGAGCAGCAGCTAGCAGGGCTGGGCTTCAAGCACCAGAAAGTGGTTACTCCTGTTAAACAAAAAATAATGTGGCATCTTCCCCCTGAGTTACAAGAACAGATCACCTTTGATAATAAGAATTCATTGCACTATTTATCTGAAAAGAGAAAAATCACTTCATTTTTCCTCTTGCAAATATGTCAGGGAGAAAGTAAATCTCTTCCCAACACTTAGACCTGCTCAGCTTTGTTTAAGCAAAAGTAAACACGTGACTTTCTTTCCTGAAGAAAATGTGGAGTCTTACCTGATTTCTGGCAGTTTGAGGCTGTGCCTCTATGACTCTGCCTTTAAACAAGTGACCTTAAGCTCTTGCTGGTCCCAGAACCAAGGCTTACAGATTCATATCTATCCTTTACAGCTGAGCAGTTCTCTTTCTTTGAAGGTCTCACCAGGGCCGCCTCTCTAATTCTGGCTTTGATGTCATTATCCCAGCATCCCTAACTCCTTCCTAACAGAAGAGCCCAGCAGACTGCAAACAACCAGAATCCAAAAAAGAGCGGGAACAGAAGTTAAGACTTAGGGGTTACAGCAGGCTTAAAAAGCAGTGTGAGTATGTGTGTGTTTGCGGATGCAGTGACTGTTCATTTAATATCATCCTTCCATCACCCTGGCTTCCAGACTTCATAAGTGAAAGGGCAAAGAAGAGACACTCCTTCTCAGGACATGAATGCTGTTATTTTATATATTCTTATATCATTATGGGATGCTTAGGAATCTGGTTTTGAGCACTAGCCAGTATTCTCAGATGGCTACATTTTAAATGCTTGATTCAAATTTTACTTCAGTTAATGACCCTTACACTAAAGTCACTATTTTTTGCTGGTTTAAGGCACTTCAGAAGTAAAGAATGAATTATCTATGTAGGCATTGACCAATCAGATCTCAGTTCTTGATAATTTTTTTCAGACACATTTTCAACCTTGAAGTGATTCAATTTTTATTGTGCATTGTTTTAGCCAAGCCCTTTACTTACAGGTTTTGTTTTCCTGGTGTGTATTTTTAATAATTCCAAGTATTGGGAAAGGAAATATTTTCTCTTTTCTGAAATTCTCTTTTTGAGGATATTTTACAGACCCTTTCATGCTTTCTTCTGCTATACTAGTGGAAAATTTTTCTCCAGCTAGGGATATTAAAAGTTGTTATATTTACCATGAACACACATTTTGTTTTTCATATCTGGGTCTGGTTTAAATTGGCAGTGACAGAAAAGTTACCTAATATGCAGTACAGGGGAATTCAAACTTGCTGCACCAGTTACTCTCAGTATTGACCTGATGCAATTTAAGGTGCAAGGTGAATACCCATCGTAGGAAAATGTCATTATTCACCACAAATAAATAGAATTACCTGTTCTTAAACAGTAAGGTCATCTGTTTCACATTCTATCCACCTTGGACTGATTAGAGCAAATTAGGTCCTGTGTTAATCAACTCAAGACATGTGCTGAAAATGTAGAAATCCGTTATATGATTTTCTTCCAGTAATTATCAGAGTCTGTATGCCCAATGAAGAATGCAGAAGTATGTAACCTTGGTAGGGCCTGATCCCACAAGATTTTTTGACTTAGCCTGAGTGGTCTGAACAGGTTAAATAGGACCCCTCACACCAGTGGACACTTCATAATGGGCATGGTGGGAAGGTGGTTTTACAACCTGCCAATAGCATCTTTTTAGCTCCTTCCACCAGTACTTTACTTGCTTCTTACCAGCACTTACTATTACTTATTTTCCCTAATTTTGCAGAATTTAGAAATTAGTAGGCTTAGCTGCATCTTTTCACTCCCATCAGGGATGAAGTGACAAGACCAACACTGGACAATTATCACTTTATATTAGAACAAGACTTCATTGAGACATGAAAGGTCAGAGGACACTTAAGTCACTCCTTTTTTAATTTAAATTTCATTAGTTTTTCACATTACATTTGTCATGACTATACTAAGTCCTAATTCAAGTCATCTATGAAGGATGTAGGAATGAGAGTCTAAGTAGATTGTTTCTATTCTTTGCTTTACTGTTTCTTCCCATATGAACTTGGGCAAATCAAATAAACTTCTTTTTCAGCTGCTAAATGAAAAAAAAAAATGTTTAATGTCTTCTGTGAGTTTTCCTTTACTCACAGAATTGAAATGCATTCGGAGTCTCATATATACTCAAAAAATCCATATTTATTAACACCACATAAATGCATTTATAAACAGTATTTTTTTCATTTGTTATATTACCATTTCAATATGTTTCAATGTTGTCCAGTTTTAGGACTTTAATCATTATCCTCCAAGAGATGCACATCTCTGCTTCACAGCCGACTGCCTTAAAATCAATTCACGTTTAAAAAAATCATATTCCTACAATATATATATATATTTTAAAAGTTTGTGGGTATTGTAATAAAATTCATTTAAGCCTGAAAGGCAAAGTGACAAAGCAGAGATTGAATAGGTTTGCAGGTCAGAAGTAGAAATTCTGCATGGACACATATCAGATATCTTAATTTGTGTCTACCACCATATTGCTGAAATTATCCTTCTCTAAAATTTCAAATTAGAAATGTCATTCTGTTATCTTTGCTGTGTCAGGGGTGTGGGGAGTTCTCCCTTCGCATTTATTTGCACAGTTCTGAATACAATATCTGCTGCCTGATTTGTGCAATAGTGTCCCATAGTAAGAGACCTTTTGTTCAAGGTAAAGATGCTGTAGGTTTGTGCAACTAGAGATTTCCTTCATTACAGGTGAATTTAGGGCCACGGTGAGGGGCAGCGCCAGGAGACCAGACACTACGTAAATTCCCAAAATGGGAATGAAAAAGAATTAGTGGCTCTATGACTTGTTACTGGATGAATTTCCCTGTAAACGGGAACTGCTTCATTAGCACATACCCTCTCCTTATCGCAGGACTAAAACCAAATAAATCAAACCCTGGCTAGACTTAACCAATATTTTTTGTCATCATAATGTCTCCTTTTCAAAAGAGTTACATGATTCAAGTTCATTTTAATAGCAAGCAATGAAGAAATTACAGTTGTTTCCATTCACACATAGCTCTAATGGGAAAAGCTTGACAGTAACTGCTGTTTCAAGAAATTCTTAACTTTTTCAGGAAGGGCACTAGTGTTCTTACATAGGTAATTACACCATGATTCTGAGGTTTTCCAGAAAGAAAAAAAAAGAGACAATAACTTTCGTTCCCTAGATTGGAGAGGACTAACTGGGAAAGAAAAAATCTCTTCACGTTAAAAAGTAAGTGATTGTGATGGAAAGAGTCAATTACATAATTCATTTCCATAGAAACAAAACTTGTAAAAGAACAATAATGTTAGTAGAAGTTATTTGAAACAGCTTCCTTGTGAGTTGATATAAAACTCCGGTGAAAATCTGAGATAGATAAACAGAAAGGTTTGCTCCTTCTATTGAGAGCTGATCTGCTATTCGTTCTCCTTCGAGATCTTTTCTCCTTAATATATTGAACTTCTTTGGAACAAAGAAACACTCCTTTGGCTCTTTTGTAGCATAAAAGCAATTTTATAGTTTTTATTTGTTCTTCCTTGGCCCATCTATTTATCCCCTGCTCTTCTGCTTTCCTATTTTGTTTGTTGTCAGCTACCTTTATAATTTTCCCTATCCAAACAATTTTCTTAACAAACTCAACAAAAGAAAATATGTAACATTGCAATAGAAACAAGAAGGTAAATTCCAAAATAAAAATCAAAAAATATCAAAACACTGATGGCTGAGGAAATCCCACTGACAACCTGTATCAGCAAGAATTCCTTCACTTTTACTTTTCCTCTGAAATAGTACCATATTCTTCTCTAATCAAAGCTCAATTTAAATGTTGAGGGAGAC